TCGCAGCTGCGCACGTATGATGCCATTGGTCCCCGGCGACAGACCAAGCGATTATCGTCCAGAAGATCGGAAAAGGACAGGACTGTTTGACGCAAAAACATTTATATCATGCGCCAAAAAGTGTGATAACGATCCTAAAATTATCGCTAACTGGATACAGAGTCTCCCTCCTGAAGTACAAAATATCATGATAAAAATATAGTAAGGTAGAACCGCTGAGAGTCACTTTTGAAATTCTTGACGTTTCCAAACAATTTAATTTTTAAATTTACTCACAAACTCACACACACACTTTCATTTTCAATCTCAAGCCACAACAATTTCGAACAATTTAAATTTTTTATTTTCACTATTATATGACTTTAAAATGTCGGCAAACTTAAAAAAAAAATCATGGCCGACAAATTGAGAGAACGGTTCTACCTTGCTATGTTTTTATCATGCAAAATATCGCAAAGAAGTACATTTGACTGTACTTCGAAGTACGAAGTACAAGAGCGAAAAAAGAAGTACTGTACTTCCGAAAGAAGTAGGGTTGGTCACATTAGTAATACCATTTCAGCCACTGGCCACCCAACTGAAGTTCGGTTGCATTCCGTAATCGACCCATTAATTTTACAATTTTTAATGTCTCCAGATTCTAAATACGAGCCTTCGCTTTCGCTGGAGGAATCTAAAATTATTTCTAGGTTGCTTATAAGACTTTCAGCAGTACTTGTTGAAGGCCCATCGATGTTTGCTGATGTACTACTTAATCGTTTAGCGCCTGAAGCTAAAAGCCGGTTATTGTCCGCATCCTGGTTAGACACACAGAGCCATTTAAATAATATTAAAGTGGACTCTCTGCTCATGTACACATTGGCATTCGCAAAACATTCGTATCATTTAATGCGAATGCCAACGTCGAATGCGAATGGGTAAAATGATGTGAATATTCGCAACATCCCTGGTATTTATATACATAAAAGCTATTATTCTGACCTTTTTTTACCTGGAAATCTAGTTTAAAGTATAATAACCAGCAAAAATAAATGTATTTAGCGCTGTAAACGCTGTTTTCTTGATTAAAAGAAATGGTAGGAAAGAAGCCATTTTGGTAGGTTTTTGAACTAGTTCTTGGTAGGAAAGAAAGTTTTCCAGCGGTAACCCTGGTTACGGTATATTCTGGACTGGCACACCATGCAGATTCTTGGAGGGACTAGGAGTTGTCGGCGACCCCGTGTTGGTGGGGGTGCGGTTATGTCCATGTGCGTGTATATTGTTGGGTTGGGTTCATGATGCCATAATACAAGGTGGTATCAGTTGTGACAGCTCAATTTGACACTGCCTTAGCTCAGTAGAATGAGAAGAAAAACGGGAAGAAATGAATCCCCATATGGGGGGAAAATATAAAATTTCACATTTTCTCCATGACAAAATTTGCTCTTTTATAGTATATTCGTTATGAAATGAAATAAAATAAGATAAAATACCTTTTTAAGAAAACAAAGTGTGTATACTGAGAAAAAATAAAAAACATTCAACTATATTAATGGGCAAAGAATAGTTAAAGAAGTAACACTGTTTCACGTAAGGCAGTCAATATGGCGGAATTATAGGGAATTTACATGAGGCGATTTTTAGTTGAATGCAACAATCGCCTGGTGTAAACGGCCTTTCAACTAATCGCTTCCAATGAAGTTGGTCGGCTGCCTACTTTCGTTCAACTTTTGATTCAACTAATCGCCTGTGAAAGTTGCCATCCCTATTTACATATGAAGCTCGGAACACTTTGACGACTGCAACTTCACGACGTAACGACAGCGACATCATTTTGTCGACAAATGTCGCCTTGAAGCCAGCTTCTTAAACATTTTGAAGACCTCAGCGACATAGCAAACAGCCGATTTTAAAGTTTGACATTTTGGTATATTTATTTCACAAATTGTGTATTTTTATTTAAGTAAATAAGAAAAACATGAACAATCAAGAATATGTGATTAATTTTGCGACAATTTAATTTTGCAGCACTACATCTACTCATTGTCGCCGGCAAAATTAGAAATAGATTTAATTTGGCGACGTCGACAATTGCAGTCCTGCAGCCAAGATGTCGTGCTGTCGTCAAAATAATTGTGCCCGTAAGAACGTGTGTATTTAAAATTTGACAGATGCTGCTTGTCGCTTGCTGTCGTCAAAGTGTTCCGAGCTTGAGGCAGCAAAAGAAGCAGTGTGTAAGGGACTCGAGATCAGGTATGAGTTAACCCTGGGTGAGGCGCTATGCAGAATTTGCAACATTATCTGGAGTGAATGGGAGCAGGAGTTTAGACTTCTTAGTGAAGACAAGGGAACATTTTTTGCAGATAACATCAATTTTGACATTAGGAAAAAGTCGTGGTTTTGCGATAAGAAACATAAGTTTGAGGTGTTCGATATAAAACTTCTAAATAGAATCATGACAGGGTATACATACGGCAGGACTTACCTGAGTAAGTTTAAAAGGGATATGAATGACCTATGCACTGTGTGTCAGGTTAAGGAAACGAGCGAGCACCTTATTTTCGAGTGCAGCAAGTTTTCGGCCGCTAGACATGCCTTTCAATTCTTCAATGAGGTAAATAATCTGGAAGAACTTTTTAATGCATCAAACCCAATGTACTTCAGAGATTTGATTCTGTTTTTGCATAAGGTTAAGTTAGATAGAGTCCTTTAAACAGTGACATACGTTTTTAACTGATATGACGATATTGTTACGATTATCCTTGAACCCTCGTCCGGATTTCCCAAATCCTCCGGTTCGTATCGCTGGATTGTTAAATAAATGCTAACGATGACCAAATTGTAGTACAATTAACTTTATTGTACAAAAAAACAATTTACAATACTTGCTAATACAGTAAAAACACTTTACAATACTTGTTAAAGCAATAACAACGCTTTACTACTTGTTAACACAATTAAACTTATAGCTTGCTTATTCGCAACTCAATTCTCCGCTCACTTTACTTGTAGCTTGCTGACTTGTAACT